TTGGATTTATACCCCGCCCTTCACTACCTGAAGGACTCTCAGAGCGGCTTACAAACTCCTTTCCCTTCCCCTCCCCACAACAGGCACCCCGTGAGGTCGGTGGGGCTGAGAGAGCTCTTTCGAGGACTACTCGCGAAAGAACAGCTCGGAGAGAACTTTGACTGGACCAAGGTCACACCAGCCACTGCATGTGGAGGCGTGGGGAATCGAACCCGGTTCCCCCAGATCAGAGTCCGCCCTCCTAACCACTACGGCAAACTGGCTCTGAGATTGGTGTTAGCTCTGCAGGTGATGTGGTGTGATGTAAAAGTACCCCAAGATAATTACAGAGGTGAACTCGTATGTAGTGTACAATGCAGGACTCTTTTTGTAGCAGGAACTCCTTTGCATATTAGGCGACACACCCCTAATGTAGCCAATCCTCCAAGAGTTTACAGAGCTCTTCTTACAGAAGAAGAAAAGATTGGATTTATATCCCGCCCTTCACTACCCAAGGGAGTCTCCGAGCCGCTTACAAACTCCTTTCCCTTCCCCTCTCCACAACAGACACCCTGGGAGGCAGGTGGGGCTGAGAGAGCTCTGACAGAAACTGCTCTTTTTCAAGAACAGCTCTTATCAGAACTACGGCTTGCCCAAGGTCATCCAGCAGGTGCAAGTGGAGGAGTGGGGAATTAAACCCAGTTCCCCCAGATTAGAGTCCATGCCTTTAACCACTACACCAAACTGGCTCTCTACAGGGGCTACTGTAAGCTCTTGGAGGATTGGCTGCATTAGGGGTGTGTCGCCTAATATGCAAAGGAGCTCCTGCTACAAAAAGAGCCCTGGGTGCGATACAGTCAGCCGTCTGAAGTGACTATTTCCTCCAGAGGAACTTATCTCTGTCGTCTGGAGCAATTTTGGGAGAACTCCGGCTTTCACCCGGAGATCGGCAACCGTAGAAGTCAGGGAACTCTGCTGATGCTGCCGTAGTGCTGACGGGACGAGCGGGCAATAGTGCTGGACCTGTGCAGAGGCACTGGTCCCCTGCCAGTCTCTTGCTTGGGTTCTCCAACCAGGCAGCCTCTTTCAATGCCCACCAATGGGCAGCCCCAAGAAGACCTCTATAGAATGACACACACACCCCAGTCACCCCTTCACTGCACTCACCGTCTTCTTGTTCTCATATTCCCTCCACACAGTGGACACCCTGCTCTGCTCCTGCAGGGAGAAAGGACACAATCAGTGCTTGCGAAAACCCCACCGGCCCTGGGTGCCCCAGGAAACACCCCAGCTGTTAGCGTCAGTCGGCCCCTTTTACAGGCTTCAGTGTTCTTTTGTCTACATCCCATGTTGGATTAAACCGCTTATTAAATCATTGCCACGAACAGGGCTATTTTGGGGCAGGAACGCACAGGAACGGCGTTCCGGCTGGCTCCCGAGTTGGCCACGCCCAGCAGGAACTCATTAGCATAATAGGCCACACCCAATAGCAGAAATCCATTAGGATTGGCTTCATTAGGGGTGTGTGGCCTAACATGCAAAGGAGTTCCTGCTACAAAAAAAGGCCCTGGGTTTTGACAACAAACAAGGTAAACAGAATAAGGAGCAAAAGGTGGGTGTGGCTGGATGACCACACTTCTGGTAACATGGGGGTGCGTCCTAATGTGCTAATGAGCTGTGCTGGCAGGGGTGTGGCCTAATATGCTAATGGATTTCTGGTGTTGGGTGTGGCCTATTATGCTAATGAGTTCCTGCTGGGCTTTTTCTACAAAAAGAGCCCTGGTTGTGTGATTAATAGATTGGAGCTGAACTATGAAAAACCAAAGCTATTGGTCTATCCCTATTCCTGGAAATTATATAAGTGGACTATTCATGGCAATAAATTCGAACAGGTCAGGCACTTCAAATACTTGGGCGTCTACTTTCATTCCAGTGCCACTTGGACCCATCGCCGCGGAATGGCTATTAATGTAGCTAAAGCTAAAGTCAGTGCTGCAACAATCGCCCGATTTTATTTTTCCGACTGTGGAGACCAATATGTGCCAGCTGCACTCAAAGCTTTTAATGCTAAAACTGGAGCTCGAGTATTGTATGGAGTACCCCTCTGGATAGATGCAGTTGACCCTTCAGTGGAACGTGTCCATTCTGTTGTTGTTGTTCAGTCGCACAGTCGAGTCCGACTCTTTGCGTCCCCATGGACCAGATCATGCCAGGCCCTCCTGTCTTCTGCCGTCCTCTGAAGTTGGCTCAATTTCATGTTCGTTGCATCGATGACACTGTCTAACCATCTCATCCTTTGCCGTCCCCGTCTTCTTTGACCTTCAATCTTTCCCAGAGTCCATTCTACCTTCTTGCGAAAGATCATGGGGGGGTACCCATGTGTGTTCCATGTGCTGCTTTATGTTTGGAGTGCGGACAGAATTTGATGGCTACTAAGGCATGGATCCACACCATTACATGTTGGCTGCAACTCCACTTCAACTCTGACCCCTCTAGTTATCTGTATCAATTACTTTCTGAATCGGCCAATCCTAGCTGGCTCTCTCACATCGAAGCCAAAATATGCTCCTTGAATTTACCCTTAGAATCTCTATCCTTGCTTGCTGAGCCTGAGGCTTTTTAAAACATAAAATCTAGTTTATTGGGCGCAGAGTTGCAAACTCTTTATAGCTTGGCCAACAGAACCTGTTTTAGGGATTGTTCCAAATGCAAATCTTCTACCTGTATCTTAGTGCTATGGCTATACGTTCCGATAAGTAACCACTAGGTTTCTCTGCTTTTATGCTGTTTTCCTGCGCCGCAGCTCTAATTTTACCCTATATGGATTTGTATTTGCCGATCTATATTTAATCTGATCTCCTATTGTATGTGTATACGTATGCCAATAAAGGCTTGTCAAATGTAAAAAACAGGCTTCAGTGGAGCAAACAAGGCAACCAAGCATTGCTTCCCAGAATCCTTTGCAGCGTTGCAAGGCATCCTGGGAGTGTGTCTTGGCTTCCCAGAGCAATGGTGAAGAAGAAGAAGAGTTGGATTTATATAGCTCAAACAGTTAGATTCAAGCCAAGGAGGAGGAGGAGGAGAAAGAAGAAGAGGAAGAAGAGGAAGAAGAGGAAGAAGAGGAAGAAGAGGAAGAAGAGGAAGAAGCGGAAGAAGGAAGAAGAGGAAGAAGAGGAAGAAGAGGAAGAAGAGTAGGATTTATATAGCTCAAACAGATTCAAGCCCAGGAGGAGGAGGAGGAGAAAGAAGAAGAAGAAGAAGTTGGATTTATATAGCTCAAGCAGTTAGATTCAAGCCCAGGAGGAGGAGGAGGAGAAGAAGAAGAAGAGTTGGATTTATATCCCACCCTACCCTTGGAGTCTCAGAGCAGCTTACAACCCCCTTCCCTTCCTCTCCCCACAACAAACACCCTGTGAGGTAGGTGGGGCTGAGAGCTCTTTCGAGGACTGCTTGTGAGAGAACAGCTCTGAGAGAACTTGTGACTGACCCAGGGTCACACCAGCAGCTGCATGTGGAGGCGTGGAGAATCAAACCTGGTTCTCCCAGATTAGAGTCCTGTTGCTCTTAACCGTTACACCAAACTGGCTCTCAACTGCAGACCCTCTAAAACTACGTAGCTCAAAGACCACCACATATTCATCATCATAACAACACTGCAGGGTAGGCCACTATCCCTCTCCCTGCATTGCGGTTGTAGGATGACCTACTGTTTTCTGTACAGGTGCATTTATAGCAGAATGGTAACTATACTGATCTAGTACTGGTGGCAAGATTCCCCGGCCCAGTTTTGCTGCATAGTTGATCTTTATATTTTAATGCTTTTTAAAAAAACATGTTTTAACCTAGCAGTTCCTCGCAGAGAACCTACGACTCCAGACAGGCTACCATTATTAGCAATTATTATCAATTCTGATTAATTAATAAACTGTCAATTCTCCATCTGACGACATACAGAGAGTGTGTGACGTTTCCTTTCTCTCCCCTCTCAGTTTATACACAAGCTGTCCTGACCTGGATAGCCCAGGCAGGTTCGATCCCATTAGATTCTGGAAGCTAAGCAGGCCTGACCCTGGAAAGTAATTGGAAGGGATACCTCCAAGGAATAACAGTGTTCGGGACACAGGGGCAGGCAATATCAAGCCACCTCTCTGGAACATCCAAACCCCACTATTCGTTGCCAGAAATCGCCATGACTTCCAAGCATGCAAGCATGCATGCGCATGCACGCACACACAGAATACCTCCAAAAAAGATCTGTACACAAACTGTTCTTTGCCATTTGTGTCAATGTGGGAAGGGGCGACTGCAAATTTCTTGGCAACCCTTTTAGAAAGAAAGTCCCATTCACGTGAATGCAAACGGACCGTCTTGTTCTGATAGGTGTGGGGCAACTTGGCCATCAGGGCTCCCAGCTCCTTGAGTTTCTGTCGTGCGGCTCTGACTTCGTGGTACAGCTCCTTGTACTCAGCGTATTGATCCTTGAAAACCGCTTTGTATTTCTCCTGTTCGGTTAGGCTTCTGATTGCCGGATACTTCCTACACAGTAGGGAAGAGGGGAGGGAGGAAAATAATGGGGCCATTAGGAGAGGGGACCCACGGGGGACCTGCAGCCAGGGAGGGAACCGTCCTCCAGTCAGGGACTCGATTTCAAAGCCCGTTCCTATTTTGTTCCAAGACACTGAAAGGCTGGACAACACATCCAATTACCATGTCAGATTACACAGGGAAGCCATTGAAATTCATAAATATAAACACAATTTCAACAGGAAAGAAGAGAGTTTAAAAATAAATAGGGCATGGTTTCCTGTCCTGAAAAACACAAAAAGCTCTACATCTGACAATAGCACTACAGATAAGATTAGAATCCACATGCAAAAAAACCTCCTCAGGAAACAGGAAACCTCCTCAGGAAACAATCCATATACCAAAGAAGCTCCTCCATTAGCATGTTCACAGACTGGGGTAGTCCTACAAGATGATGACTCAGCCCTACCCCACTTTCCTGAGTAGATATAAATTACCTGCCTACCATTTTCCTTCTCACCTTGACACAGAGAGTACTCTGTCTTTCTGTGTTATACCTCTGAGGATGCCAGTCACAGCTACTGGTGAAACGTCAGGTCCTACAATGCCAAGACCACGGCCATACAACCCGGAAAATCTACAACAGCCCGTTTCTATTTATTTATTAAAATACTTATACCACACTTTGCTCCCTACTAAGGGCCAAAGGTGGCCAGCAACATTCTCCCCTCCCCCAACATTCTCCCCTCCCCCACTGTATCATCACAACAACCCCGTAAGGTAGGTTAGGCCAAGTTGAAAGCTGCTCGCTCAAGGCCACTCAACGAGCTTCCATAGCAAAGCGGAGATTCAAACCTGCGTCTCCCGGATACTAGGCCAACATGCTAACCATTGGGCCTTGCTAACCCAGCTGAACATCCAAAGCCGAACCGGACAAAGAGGAGTAAGCTAAGCATGTGGAAAAGCCCATATAATTGACATGTGGAATTAACTGTTGCAAGGCCAGGTAATGGCCATGGAAGAGGAGACATCAATTCAAGGGGACAGCTAAATGCAACATCATGTAAACAGAGATGGGTTAGCTGTCAATTGTTTGCTTAGCTAAACAAAGAATCCATATTATCTTGAAATCTGATTCTGGTAAGACCCTGGTCTGATCCTGCAAGGAAACTCTTCTGTTCGTGGAAGTCCTTAGTGCCCTTTACAGCTTTACTATTCCAAACTATGCAAACAGCTCTTTTGGCTGGCTGATATTCGCGTACCCCAAAAGAGCAATGTCTCTGCATTTGTGGCTTGCCAGAGGTGGAGGACCTTCCTCACTACATGCTTTACTGTCCTCTTTACAGCACTCCAAGAGATAATTTTTTAGCAGGAGAAGATTGTGTTCTTGCTTTCAGGTAATGATGCTTATCTATCCTATAGCAGTTCCGGTCACATGAGCCGGATGATCCACCACTGAAGGGCGGAAAATCAGAGCCGGAGCAAAAAGAACCGCGGGAGCAAGATCCGATGTGCCCCTGCGGCTCCGTGCTCCGTGCCCCGGCACCCGATCACACGGTGTGCAGAAAACTGGCAGTAACGCGGTTGTACGCATGTGTGGGATGGGGAACGGTGCCGGCTGCGACGGCCTACCGGCGCTTCCCCAACCAGACGCCTTCCGTTGGCCCGCATCATCCGGTAGGTACTGCTGTTTTGCAAGTACCTTTTTGATGCGCGTTTGTGGGCCGAAGAGACGGATCGGGGACGGGTGCGCGCCGCTTCCCAGATGTTGCGGTGTAATCACGCCCGCTTGATGCGCCCCCGATCCGTCCCTCTTACGGATCAAATCCTCCCGTGTGACCGGGGGCCCTGTTTGCTTTAGCAGCATCTAAGATTAGATCTAAGGGGCAGGCTACCGGATGGTGATTAAACCTGCTCTATCTTTCTTTTAGTAGTTAATTTAAACCCGTATATTAACGGTGCTTTTTAACTCTTTATGATTGCTTCGCTGTATTCTGTATTTTGTAATGGCCAATGGCTTAATACAATAAACCACTTAATGGAAGTCCTTTGTAAAAAGGGCCCGGCCTCTCCTCACCCCCAAACGTGAACCGTTACTCACTCACATAACATAATCCGGGATGACATGCGGTTTTGGGTGGTGGCCCGTTGGGATGCTACAGTTTAGCAGTGCGGGGTCCTCCTCAGCCACCTCTGAAAACTCAACACGCCTGGAGACCTTTCCGGAAGGCTGGATTTCATCCCCTGACACAGCCTTCTTGGCTGGGTGCCGACGGGGTGCCGACGTTTGCTGTGGAAAATAATTGCAAGAGGGAAGTCGATTGGTTGCAGAAGGGGCCGGGGACATCATTTGAGCGGGGGGACCACCCCATCTCCTGATTATCCATTTGGGAAGGACCCCTTCAGATCTCCAGTCACTCCGAGACAGCTTTTACAAAGTGGCAGAGGGGAATGCTGTACAGCAGACCCAGAACCACCAGGGTGTCAGGTAGCCCTATCACAGATCTGGAATGTGGAAGGGTGCACCTCCTTGTGTGTGCTATCTCATGCTTGACCTTGCAGTCTCCAGCTGCACTTTTCTCGGCTGGGAATGTTAATTGTTTTTACGCTTTGCCCGCTTGCTTGTGCCCGCGCACGTGAACTATGATAATTGGCTTATGCTTACAGGGGGTGTTCTGATTTCACTATAAGTCAGAGGCCCTTATAAAGGTAAAGGTTCCCTTGCTCAAAAGCCAGTTGAGTCCGACTCTAGGGTTGCGGTGCTCATCTCGGTTTCAAAGCCAAAGAGCCAGCGCTGTCCAAAGACGTTTCCGTGGTCATGTGGCCGGCATGACTAAACACCAAGGTGCACGGAATGCTGTTACCTTCCCACCGAAGTGGTCCCTATTTATCTACTTGCAATTTCTTGCTTTCGAACTGCTAGGTTGGCAGGAGCTGGAGCTAGAGACGGGAGCTAGAGACGGCAACCCGGGTCTCGAACTGCTGAACTACTGACCTTCCACAGCAGAGGCCCTTATATTGACGGTCATTCTTGACACAATCTGTACCCGTGTCCTTTAATACTGGAAACACTAATAAACAGTTACCTTCTTCTGAAGCTCTGTGTGGTGTAACCTGATTGAGGCGCCTGATACAGGGCCTCCTTTTTATCTAGCTCGGAAATGTGTCCTCTGATTGGTATCAGCGCCTCAGGTTCTCGGATGGAGAAAGACCTTCTCAACATCTCTTCCAACTGGAGACCTTTTGGGGTTGATTTGGGACCTTCTGCACTGCGTCCTCCCCTAAACACATGAATCTGCCTTTTAGCAAGTTGCTCCATTAACCCCGGTATTTACTTTGGCAGGCAGAGGTTCTTCAAGATCGTCTCTTATGTTCTCTTATGTTCTGAAATCCTGGGGATCAAACCTGGGACATCCTACATGCCAAGCTCTACCACTGAACTATGGGGCAGGGCCTTCTGATGGTTACCAGCACTGAGGAAGAAGACGGAGAGATTGGATTTATATCCCACCCTTCACTCGGAGTCTCAGAGTGGCTTACAAACTCCTTTCCCTTCCTCTCCCCACAACAGACGCCCTGTGAGGTAGGTGGGGCTGAGAGAGCTCTTTCGAGAACTGCTCTTGACTATGGCTTGCCTGAGGTCATCCAGCAGCCAGGAGTGGAGGAGTGGGGAATCAATGCCGGTTTTCCCAGATTAGAGTCCGCGTACTAAACCACTACACCAAACTGGCTCTCAGGAGCTTTTGTTGGCAGTGCCTGGGGAGGGCAGAGATTGGGGAGGATGCGATGTCATTTCTGGGTGATGCTTTAAGAATGTCCCTTAAATTCTATGGCAAAGACCACAGAGACATGGGGAAATTCCTAGAGTGTCGCTATAGAGGCCATTTCCCCTCCCACTCCTCAATTACCTGAGGGGCCAATTTGGGCCTGAGGGTGGAGGTTTACCACAATGGCAGGAAAATGGAAAGCTGAGAGCATTTTTGAGCAGAACAGAAGAGAAACGGGATGCCTCACCTTAGGTATGTTTGTCAGTGGTCTACCCTCGTGAGGTACTTCCCTGAGTCTTAACAGAGCTACCCTCTTCCTGGCAGCCTCATGCCTCCACATCTTGAGACAGACGAGGGATCCGGTCAGATAGAGTAACGTGGTGATAAAGAGGAAAGCGATGGCTGCCATTTGACCCCCTTCGACCCGGCACAAAGCCACGATGAGTGGGTTGTTGGCAAAGACGGAGTAGCACAGTCCGCCACGGTTGACGTCGTTGACATAGGCAATGGCAGCTGCCATGTAGAGCAGAAACATGAGGAGGTTGAGACCAAACTCTGTCAAAGGCCACCAGTGGGAGTTGAGGAGGATCGTCCTGTAGTACATGGTCACTCCCAGGCCGAGCAGGATCACTGTCACTAGCCAACTCAGGCTAACCACCACCAACACAAAGGGAGTCATTGGGCCGTAGTAGTTGTACCCGTATCCTCCTCCGGTGAGGCCGTTGTAGGGAAGATTACCACCCCATAGTTGAGACCACTGGTAGTCCTTCTGGATGTAAGCAGCCGTGCAAGCAAAAACCATGCCCCCTAAGATGAGTTCCAGGCCTCCCATCAACCGAAGCAGGCCTGGCCATGATTTCATGTATGAATATTTATAGTCGTAGGCCTCTAGCTTCTCCTTATAGCTTGGTGGGCCTGTTGACAGGTCACCATAGCTTGGGTCTGGCAATGTCTTCTCGTACCCCGATGGACCGGTGGAGGCTGACGGTGGCTTTTTAAAATCACTGCCATCTTCAACATTTGAGATCTCTTCTCTGTCAGAGATGATCCTCTGGGGACGGTCAAAAAAGGGAGATAACGGCAGAGAAGTCTTCTCACCTTCCGGAGAGTAGCTCACAGAAGACGGCTCCGACCAAGGCTTCCTCCAACATTTGTGGAAAAAGGTCTTCCAAGATGGTGGAATGAACCGCCGGATGGGTTTCAGAGAGGAGGCCTCTGGGTCCTGAGGTAAATTGGTGAAGGCTGATTGGGGACATGGAACAGGCCCATCAGGAGAGGCATGGCGGAGACCCTCTGAGAAGTCGGAATCCCACGAGTCTCCAGAACATTTTGTCCAGGATTGTGTTGGCCAGTTGATGGAACAGAGCAGATCTCCATTGACACCTACGATGGGCCGCCTCTTCTCTCTGCCTGAGGTAATTTGCTCCTCAGAGGCCATTTCCCCAAATGGCTGCCAGACGAAATTGTAATAACTGGCACTATCTATCAGGCATTATGTGAAGAAGACGGAGGGGTACCTAAAGCAAGCAAGTTAAAGTTTAACTGACGACGACAACAACAACATTGCTTTTGGGTTATAGTGGCTCTCAGTGGAACCTTTGGGCTGGGGAAAGACTCGTGGAGGTGAGGGAATTGGCAGAACGATCCCCAGGAGTGCTGCGCAGCTCAATAAAGTCAGCATGGGATAATGGTTATAGTGTCAGACTAGGATCCAGGAGACCTAGGTTCTAATCCCCACCACGCTGTCATGGAAACTCATTGGAAGACTTTGGGCAGTCCCTCTCTCACAACCTAAACCTACTTCACAAGGCTGTTGTGCAAGCCCTATGAGGAAAGGCTGAGGGACTTGGGAAGAGGCGGCTGAGGAGGGACATGGTTGCTCTCTTTAAGTATCGGAAGAAGGGCTGTCCCTTAGAGGAGGGCAAGGGAGCTGTTCCTGTTGGCAGCAGAGGACAGAACTCGCAAGAATGGGTTTAAATTAAGGGCGGGAGGGTACCGGATGGAGCTTAGGAGAAACCCTTTTTACAGTCAGAGTTGTGCAACAGTGGAATCGACTGCCCAGGGAGGTGGTGCGCTCCCCCTCACTGGCAGTCCTTAAGCAGCAGCTGGACAAACATTTGTCAGGGATGCTCTAGGCTGATCCTGCATTGAGCAGGGGGTTGGACTGGATGGCCTCTAGGGACCCTTCCGGCTCTGTGACTCTATGATTCTATGAGACCAATGTTTTATGCTGCTTTGGTAAACGAGTAAGGGTAAACGAGTGGGGTAAAGGAGAGCCATGAGCTAATACAGACGCCTCCACTGGAGAGAGGGCCAGGTCTGCTAGCTCAGAGATTTGGAGTCCCAAAAGATTCTTCTGGACAAGAGATTCCCCTACTGCACAGGGGTCATTTCGTAGAAAAAGAGGTGCAGGAGCTCATTTGCATAACTCATTAGCATAACTTGTTTGCATATGCCACACCCCCTGACATCACCGGAAGTGTGTCTGAAGGCAACACCCACCGCTCAGGCTCCACTGGACTGTTTTGGATTGATTGTTTTGATGACGTATTTATTTTACTTGTTTTTTTTACAGCTGACCAGTCGCAGTAGTTTTCTTTTAGATTTGTAGTCCGCTGACATTTTCGTTGAACCACCTGAAAATCTTGGAGGGGAGGGAGATCTGGAAATTTCAAATGTACTCTGAATGGGGCGGGACTCCAGGGGAAGTGATTTAAAACTTGGTCTTAAAGGTGCCACTGGACTGTTTTGGACCGGGGGGGCCCCCTCTGCAACTTACCTGGCTGCTTCTTGCTCTGACTGAGGGCTGCTGGGAGCAGGGGGTGGGGCTTGTTGCATGTGCCCGCCCCCTGGGCTCTTTACTGCCGGAGCTCCGCTCCTGTGCGCTCCGGCAGGAAATGACCCCTGCTACTGCCTATCTCGTTGCGGCCACCTGAAGGACCGTGTCCGTCTTTCTCACTTGGGGATGCCCCACTGCCAAGAAATGGCTGGATGAAATCTCAGCAATTTCCTCACTGGAGCCAACAGACACTCCTGCCGGGTCGCCAGCTTCCAGGTCGATGGCTCGAGATCTCCTGGAATTACAACTGGTCTCCAGCCAACAAGGAAATGGCTGCTTTAGACAGTGGACTTTATGGCACCGTATCTTGCTGAAGCCCCTTCCCGCCCCAAACCCCGCCCTCCCCAGGCTCAGCTCTGAAAACATTCATGAATTCCACAACCCAGAGCTGGTAGCTCTATCTGAAACCCTCTCCCCAAGCTTCGGTAAGAATTGCTCTGATTGAACAGAAGCGTTTCTGAGCTGAAGAGTTATTTTAAAGTTCAGAAGCTCTTTATCTGTGGAAGGAAGGTGTTCAGAAACAGAGAAATCTTTTAAGTAAGCTGCTGTAGATTTTCCCGGGTTGTGCGGCCGTGGTCTTGACATTGTGGGACCTGACGTTTCGCCACTGGCTGTGACTGGCATCCTCAGAGGTATAACACAGAAAGACGGAATCCTCTCTGTGTTGAGGTGGGACCTGACGTTTCGCCAGTAGCTGTGACTGGCATCCTCAGAGGTATAACACAGAAAGACGGAATACTCTCTGTGTCGAGGTGAGAAGAAAAATGGTAGGCCGGTAATTTATATCTACTCAGGAAGGTGGGGTAGGGCTGAGTCACAGTCTGGGGAACTCCTACAATATAATGACTCAGCCCTACCCCACCTTCCTGAGTAGATATAAATTACCGGCCTACCATTTTTCTTCTCACCTCGACACAGAGAGTATTCCGTCTTTCTGTGTTATACCTCTGAGGATGCCAGTCACAGCTACTGGCGAAACGTCAGGTCCCACAATGCCAAGACTACGGCCACACAACCCGGGAAATCTACAGCTGCTAATGAGCTCTGGCCGTGAAAGCCTTCAACAACATATCTTTTAAGTTAGTCCCTTGAAGCCTTGATCCCAGGCTGAACAACTAATTTATATCACAATCATAAATAATATCCTATATGAACCTGCGTATCAGTAAATGATCATTGTAGGAACACCTCCACCAGTTAGGTAGATGATTACCAGAGACGGGTCCTTTCTCGCGGTTGCACCTCAACTGCAGAAGGTTGCCTTTACCGTACCGTAAGCGCAGGGCAGAGTTCGTCCTCTTTCCCAAGTCTTTCAAGCCTAAATTGGCATTAGTTGCCAATTGGCCAGGTCAGAAAAAGCCCTGTATTAAAGGTTTAATATGCAGAAATGGGCAGTTGAAGCTTTTCATAGCATGGAGCTAAACAGCATCAACCTGCTGCAATTTCTGCAGATCAAATTGATATTGAAGGGATAGCTAGCAGGACTGGATTAAAAAGTTGGCAACACGTTATTGGTGTGTGAGTCTGTGCATCTTGTTGGTTTGGTACTGTGTGTCATATTCTTGTCATCTTATCTTCCTGGCACCATAGTTTTCATGATCTGGACTATTTAATTGCTGCTGCTTCATTGTTAAAGTGGTTTATAAAAGCACTGGTTGCATCAGTGCTCACCCCAGCCTCTCTGGAGAGTCTGGTGTAGTGGATAGAAGCGCAGACTCTAATCTGGGAGAACCGGGTTTAATTCCCCACTCTTCCACATGCAGCTGCTGGTGTGACCTTGGGTCTGTCATAAGTTCCTTCAGAGCTGTTCTCTGAAGGGAAGTTTTCTAGAGAGCTCTCTCAGCCCCACCTACCTCATAGGGTGTCTGTTGTGGGGAGGGGAAGGGAAAGGCGTTTGTAAGTTGCTCTGAGACTCCTTCAGGTCATGAAAGGCGGGGTATAAACCCAATTTCCTCTTCTTCTTCTTCTTCTTCTTCTTCTTCTTCTTCTTCTTCTTCTTCTTCTTCTTCTTCGTCTTCGTCTTCGTCTTCGTCTTCGTCTTCTTTTCTGGACAGCCACTTGGTCTCCTAACAAAGTTTTCATACCTGCAGGGCAGAGGCCAGAGCTTTTCTGTGTATCATACGGCGCCTAGCATTTTAAATGGAACTAAATGATTTGACTTGAAGGCAGAGTTGCCAACTTCCAGCTGTGACCTGGAAACCACCTGATTTTGCAGCGGTCCTCCAGACTACATTTTATTCTCACAACAATCCTGTGAGGTAGATTAAGCTGAGTAAGAGAGTGCCTCCAATCCAGGGAGGCCAGCCTCCAGGTGGGGCCTGGGGACCTTCTAGACTGTGGAGATATCAGTTCCCCTGGACAAAATGGCAGCTTTAGTCTATGGCATTATGACCTGAAGGACCTGCTGGATTTCCCTCCCCACACCCTGCCCTCCAGAAGCTTTGCCCCAAATCTCCAGGAATTTTCCAACCCAGAACTCGCAAACTGTACTTAAAGGGATATTAATAACTACTAAGGGGTTCAGTTAGAAGAATAATATTTAGAAGATGTTTCTCGCAAAACTGCCTGCAAATCTAGAGGCTCTCCATTTGGGAGAATCCATTCTGATTTTACTTCCCCTTCCTGCGAATCGGACCCACAATTTATCTTTGCCTCATTTCCCGTTTCTTCTCACCCAACTGTTTTCCCCACGAAGCGCGCGTATTTGCTCTGTCTGCACAAGTTACATGTATAAGTGATACACATTGTTCATATAAATACTGTACAGGTTGCTTATGAAAAGCCCTCCAGCCTGCATACACGATGCAACCAAATCTACGAAACCAACAGTGGAAAGCGGACAACGGAAAGCGCTGGAAAAAACCATAAATGAATCTGGAAAGAAATGAAATAGGAATGCCCTGTTTGCCCTGGTTCCACCCCGAACCCAGCCCCCTGTTACTTTTCATGGTACCTTCAATGGCTTTGTGATCTCCAGCAGACACGGTAAAGGCAGGGGGTCTCGGGGTCTCAACAGGTTTGGCCCACCGGTTCAAAGCCCCAAAGGAAGTCTACAGTTTCCTTCTCGTCATAGTTCAGGGCTGCCTTCAGGGGATACAGGAAGCCCGACGGGCCTCAGCCGCCACAGGCTTTCTGGAAAGCAAAAACAATTCTGCAGTGTCCATAAGGTGTCCAGCTCCAAACCCAATTTGTTATCCGTCTCCGATGTGGTTAATTATTAACCGCTGGCCGGCCAGAACGTTGCCTGGGAGGCACGGACGGAGGAAATGCCACGGCCCCAGGGGGTGTTTGGCTCCCTCAGGGCTAGGCCGGCCGGCCTCCTGAAACTGTCAGATTCCATTGGAGAAACGCAGAGTAAAGCGTTTCAGTGTTCACTCGATTTAGCATCTTTCGGTGTTTTCCTTTATGGAGCTATATGAGCAGGATTCTGTAAGGTGATGCACACTGGGGCAAAAAAAAAAATGCCTAACTTCAAGTATAGGCTAATGCAGGGCTTTTTTTTGTAGAAAAAGCCCAGCAGGAACTAATTAGCATAATAGCTCACACCCAACAGCTGAAACCTATTAGCATATCAGGCCACACCCTGACACCACAGCTCATTAGCATATTAGGCCACAGCCCCGTGTTGCCAGAAGTGTGCTCATCCAGCCACACCCACCTTTTGCTCCTTATTCTGTTGACCTTCTTTGTTGTCCAAACCCAGGGCCTTTTTTTGTAGCAGGAACTCCTTTGCATGTTAGGCCACACACCCCTAATTGTAGCCAATCCTAATGAGTTTCTGCTGTTGGGTGTGGCCTATTATGCTAATGAGTTCCTGCTGGGCGTGGCCAACTCGGGGGCCAGCCGGAACTCCGTTCCTGTGCGTTCCTGCCCAAAAATAGCCCTGGGCTAATGAGGTCTGAGCTTGCTGAGACGGGGGGGGGGAAGACCTTGGGATTGTAGTGGATCACTCAATGACAGTGTCAACCCAATGCGCTGGAGCAGTGAGAAAATACTCCTTTACACAGAGAGTGATTAAAATGTGGAGTTCGCTGCCGGAGGATGTAGTGATGGCCACAAGAATAGACAGTTTTAAAGGATTCACGGAAGAAAGGTCTATCAGTGGCTACGAGCCGTGGTGACTGAGGGGAACCTCCATGTTCAGAGGTAGTCAGCCTCTGAATCCCAGAGCCAGGAGGCAACATCAGGAGAAGGTCTCAGCTTCTACGCCCTGTTGTTTGGACCTCCAGAGGAACTGGTTGGCCCCCGTGTGAGACAGGATGCTGGACTAGAGGGACCCTCACTGGTCTGATCCAGCAGGGCTCTTCTGATGTTCTTATCAGGGAAGGCCTTGGCCTCTCTGCCATGTTGTTGACCCTCCAGAGGAACTGGCTGGGTAGTGAAGGGCGGCGTATAAATCCAATCTTCTTCTTCTTTAGCCCATAAACTAAGGTTGCCTGTTCTGGGCTGGGAAATACCTGGAGATTTGGGGGTTGGAGCCTGGGGAAGGCGGGGCTTGGGGAGGGGAGAGGATTCAGAGGGGTGCAATGCCATACAGTCAACCTTCCGAAGCAGCCATCTCCTTCAGGTGAACTAATTTCCATCGCCTGGAGCTCAGTTGAGATGCCAGGTGATCTTCAGCCATCACCTGAAAGTTGGTAACCCTACCCATAACACCTCAGAATAGGAGTTAGTGGTGAAGAGCAGATATGCAGAATCGGGCCAGTCTAGTACACCATTCTGTTTTCAAGTGGCCAGTAAGACACCACAGCCCACAGTCCCACATGCCCAGTCCTCACCTGCTCGCTGCTGGTCAGAGACCTTCAGGGTTCCCTCTAAGCTGAGTTAGTGTGCACTAGCTCACAGTTTTTTAGCCTCCGTCTGACACATTTTCGTCTTTGCTCAGGAAGGAGGGCTCCAGAGCAAACTAATTTATGCAGGAGCCAAGTCGTTTGCTCACAACTTGAATGCCAGTCGCTCACAAAGCAGAATTTTTGCTCACAAGACCCCACAACTTAGAGGGAACAACTTAGAGGGTCAGAGGTTCTGACCATAGCAAACCATATATTGTTGTTGTTGTTCAGTCGCACAGTCGAGTCCGACTCTTTGCGACCCCATGGACCAGATCCCGCCAGGCCTTCCTGTCTTCCGCCGTCCTCTGAAGTTGGCTCAATTTCATGTTCGTTGCCTCTATGACACTGTCTAACCATCTCATCCTTTGCCGTCCCCATCTTCTTTGACCTTCAATCTTTCCCAGCATCAGGGTCTTCTCCAGGGAGTGCTCCCTTCTCATTGGGCGGCCAAAGTATTTGAGCTTCAGTTTCATTATCTGGCCTTCCAGGGAACAGTCAGGGTTGATTTCTTGTAGGATGGACTGATTCGATCTTCTTGCAGTCCAAGGGACTCTCAAGAGTCTTCTCTGGCACCATAGTTCAAAAGAATCTATTCTTCGGCGCTCGGCCTTCCTTATAGTCCACCTCTCGCAGCCATACATGACTACTGGGAATACCATTGCTTTGACCATGCGGACTTTTGTTGGCAGGGTGATGTCTCTACGTTTTATCATGCTGTTTAGGTTCGCCATCGCTTTCCTCCCAAGGAGCAGGCGTCTTTTAATTTCATGGCTGCTGTCACTGTCTGCGGATATATATATGGAGGATATATTATCCTCCATAAATTGACCGAACCCTTTTTTCAGTCCACCTAAGCCAGCAGCCACCCTGACCTGGATAACCGAGGCTAGCCCAATCTCGACAGATCTTGGAAGCTAAGTACAGTCAGCCCTGGTTAGTATTTGGATGGGAGACAGACAAGGAAGTCCAGGGTTTCGTCTCAGAGGCAGGAAGTGGCAGATCACCTCTGAACCTCTCTTGCCTCGAAAACCCTGTGAGATTGTCATAAGACAGCTGCAACTTGACGGCCCTTTCCACCGCCACCAGCCCAGCGGCTATGACCACATCTAGTGGCAGTGAGTTCCACAAGTCAACTACCCACTGTGTGAAGAAGTACTACCTTTTGTTTGTTTTGAATCGGCTGCCAGATCCATTTCCCTTGTGTATGTGGGCCACGGCCAGCTTCCTCCCACAGTTCTCTGTTAACACTTAAGCAGAGCCCAAAAAGGCTCCATGTCCTACCCCCCCCCCGCCCTCAAATTCCCTCTCCTGTTCTCTGTCTTCATATACATAGGAAGAGGCGACTCTTGCATCTCTTGCTCACTAGATGGCAGCAGAGAGCCACCAAATGGCTGCTTTGGGTTCATTTCCACAGCTGCAAATGCCAGTGGTAAGGACTAAAGTACCTGTTTTCTGTTTCTTTGTGCCACTTTTTTTTGGTGTGTGGTTAAATTTAACACCATTTCCAGGGGAGTTTTGAGTGTGTGGTTGTGTGTGTCAATTACATACCGATGATGCAGACAACAGAAATAGCCTAAAAATTGGCAGCAAAAGGGCACAGCAGAAATAAAAGGAACCGAAGATGCCAGAAATTAAACATGCTCCCAATAACATGAAATCGAAAAAGTGTTTTGGTTTTTATTTTAAAAAAGGCACATCCACACATGCCTCTGGGAGCCTTGAGCCCCATCTCAATCAACTAGTTTAATTTAGTAAAGGTAAAGGTTCCCTCGCTCGAAAGCCAGTCGAATCCGACTCGAGGGTTGTGGTGCTCATCTCCATTTCCAAGCCGAAGAGCCAGCGCTGTCCAAAGACATTTCCATGGTCACGTGGCCGGCATGACTAGACGCCGAGGCGCACGGAACGCTGTTACCTTCCCACCGAAGCGGTACCTATTTATCTACTTGCAATTTCTTGCTTTCAAACTGCTAGGTTGGCAGGAGCTGGAACCAGAGACGGGAGCTCACTCTGTCATACGGCACTCAGGTCTCGAACTGCTGAACTACCGACCTTCCAGCCTGCAGTTCAGCATCTTAACCACTGAGCCACTGCAGCGTTCCGAGTTTAATTTACAAACACTTAAAATCTTTTTGGGGGGGGAAGCTCAAAGCACCTTTACAGTGATAAGAAGTAGAAACAGGTCCCTTAAGCTGATGATAAACCATTGGTGTTCAACGTTTCCCACAACAGGGACACACCTTCAGTGTCCAGGTGGCAGCCTAGGACCTTCTGACCTGAAAGAACACAGCAGGAAGTCATGAGACAGGAAGAGGAGGAGCTAAAGTTATGATGACCTCACTTTTGGGCAGGGGGCACGTGCTTGCGGTGCCTCAGAGGGCCCACTGGTGGGATTGGGGGAGGGGAAAGAAGGCGAGGAAAAGTTTTTGTGTTGTTGTTGGTGGATCTTGCTCTCTGTGTATGCCCACGTATGAGCAGGTCTTCCTTAAAAAGCAGCCAAAAATGGTGTCTCAAGAGCAGCTCACAATCCACCTAAATGTCCCGAACCATGGGTTAGAGACCACTGACCTATAACATCATCCAAAACCATTCTGCTTCCTCCAAGGATACTCCACCTGGCTGGCTCTCCCTCCTTTCTTATTCTTCATCTTCCTTGAATCATATTTAGCATTTACATATGTCAAGCCCTTCAGGTATGTTCCTTCAGTAATCCTACAAAAGCCTCCTGAGGTAGGCAGGAATTCTTGAGGGGGATCCTGAAAAGGCTGTCCATTTTACTGGTGAGGGCACTTTCCTTCAGCCCAAGGAGCCTTTTCCTTGTGCGAGAGATGTACCACACCACTAGGGGAACACACACACAGGTCAACTCACTATCTTTATATTGTAGCACCAGTTTGGTGTAGTGGCTAAGAGTGGCGGACTCTGATCTGGAGAACCAGTTTGATCCCCAACTCCTCCACATGCAGCCAGCTGGATGACCTTGGGTCAGCCACAGTTCTCTCAGAGCTTTCTCAGCCCCACCTACCTCACAGAGTGTCTGTTGTGGGGAGAGGAAGAGACAGAAATTGTAAGTTGGTCTGAGACTCTGAGTGAGGGGCAGAGTATAAATCCAATCCCTTCTCTTCTCTAGAGTGGCTGGGAGCAGAAACAGAGGCAGTAGCTATCGTTATTTTTATTTCTGAGATGTTGGGTTGTTTTTCATTATCTTTCTAATTTTCTCCTGTAAAAGCAGGTGAAAGTAGCAGAGAAATATTTCAATGCGAAAACCCAGACTTACTTGCCTTAATGAGTTGGTGGCAGCGGTGGGATCACAACCAGACTCTTGAATTGTAGGTTGAGGCTCCTAAACTACCCTGATGTCCCAAAATGGTCTTTAAGCAGAATGAAACAGGGCTAAACTCCAGGCCCTCTCCCCCAAACCACCTTTATGTCACTTTAAGTTATTTTTAACCTTCTTCAGAAGAAATTAAATTATTTTAACCTGCAGGCTGCACTGTGAAATATGGTTGGTCTAAATAAAGGCACGGGGCATTTATCATGAGGCATTCCGTTATTCCTCTGCTCTCAGCTGCTCCTCAAGAGAATAAAACATGCACAACCCCCCCTGAGCACAGCCCATAGCTGTCCCACAACTAGGAAGGGAAGCCCAAAGGACACAGAAAAAAAGAGAGAGAAAGAGACAATTCATTCAGAGTATTTTATGACATCGGTTCTAATTCTGCATATGTTAGCAGTGTACATAAAACACTGTGGAGAAAATTCAATATTCCTAAGAAGAAATACTAAGTATTTGAGTCTGGCCACACTCCCCCTAACACCCCCCCCCAATGCTGTTTGCTGCTGCACAAGGAAGGAAGGAAGGAAGGAAGGAAGGAAGGAAGGAAGGAAGGAAGGGAGGGAGGGAGGAAGGAAGGAAGGAAGGAAGGAAGGAAGGAAGGAAGGAAGGAAGGAAGGAAGGAGGAAAATTGAGGCACAGTGAAAGGAAGGAGGGAAGAGAGGAGGAAAATTGGGAAGAAAGGATGACATCTAAAAATATTTGAAAGGCAAGGAAGGGAAAGAAGCTTGGTGTCTTCACTCTGCCCATGCTCACCTTGGATGTAATGTTTCTTAACAGTGACAATGCATATCATCCTATTACCCCGCTCAGCTAACAGTGGCATTTCCTCAGATGCAAGAGTCTCTTTCAGCAGAGAAAGCTTTCTTGAATGGGAGGGAGGGGCTGCTGTTAACTGAGTGGAGTGGCCGAATCTTGAACATGTTTAACCACATTTGAGAGCATTTGGAGCACTTTGCACAGATCCCTTTCTTGCAATCTCTACTCCAGATGCTTCCAAAAGTTCTCTTCCCGATTTCTCTCCGCTTTTTCATCCCAAATTCTGTGGTTTTCTTTCCTGAGGCGGAACCAATTCATTTGAAACTCTCTACTGTCCCCCATCCTTTTGGGATGAATTTTGTAGAGCTCTGTGCTGACCTTTTCAGCTCATTGGGTGTGTCAGTCATCTCACTATGTCACTGCTGCGGATTGATAACACACTGCAAAAAAAAAAAAAGTAAAGGTAACCTTGATGCGATTGTACCAAGGGTCACATCAAGATCCTTGTTGAGTGATGTTTTTACCAATGCATTAAAGTGCATGTGCGCATCAGTGAATCACTGTGCAAAAAAAAAAAATCTTGATGTGAGCATATGTATCATTACATCAAGCATGGATTTTTTTTGCAGTGTTTGACACACACAAACGTGTGTGTTAGTACACAGATGGGCATGAAGAGAACAGTGAACTGGCCCTTGCATACACCAATTCTAGAATTTGGAACTCAGAAAATGGAAACTCAGGAGATATGCATAGCAGTTTAAACTCACAGAACAATGAAGAACTAGAAACTGGGGAAATCTGTTCCTCCCAAATCCTCCCAAAGGTACTGGCTGTCTGGAATGCCTTCATCATTCACATCAAAGAATGACATCAGTGCGCATACATTTCAGCACACCACTGGGCCCAGGCAATTATGTTGAGTGATGCTCTTGAGATAATTGATTATGCTCAAGTCATTATACTTAACTGTGTTCTTCTAGAAGTGTTTTGGTTTAATACTGAGTCACCCTTCCCAGTCCCCAAGGATGCTTACTCTGAAGTAAGTGCTGTTGATTTCAAGTTGATTTTCTCTAAGAACCAAACTGCATGCTATGATTTTTCTTTTTTAACATGTCGCCTCTGGGTTCCCCCAACCTGACTTTGAATCAAACAGTCGTATGTTCCTCACAGAGAACTCATGCACCAAGTGCATGGGCCCCGATTCAGATCAGAACTGCAGTGTAGGGGGGAAAGGGGCTTCCCAATGCTTCTCTAGGGATGTTATTTTCTCCGTTTGGGAACTGTGCCCACACAGCCCATCAGTAGATCCAGTTTGGTGTAGTGGTTAGGAGCATGGACTCTAATCTGGGAGAACCAGGTTTGATTCCCCACTCCTCCACAACTGACCTTGGGTCAGTTATAAGTTCTTTCAGAGCTGTTCTGGAAAGAGCAGTTCTCTCACTTAGCCCCACCTACCTCACAGACAGTGTTCCCTCTAAGCTGAGTTGATGTGAGCTAGCTCACAGTTTTTTAGCCTCTGGCTCACACATTTTTATCTTAGCTCAGGAAGGATGGCTCCAGAGCAAACTAATTCATACAGCCCTCTGGGCTGTAAGAAAAAAGGCATAGAAGGGAGGCTGAAGTCCTTTCTCTCCCTGCACCACAATCCTCATCCAAATTGGCCCCCCTCATTCTTGGGAAAGGTCTTCTCTTGCACCTGAAATGCGACTGCTTGGGGACTAGTCAGGTCAGGGGAATCCACCATAGGTTCCAAATTGAAATGTGTTCTTTGACCCTAACTCTCTTCCTTTACACAGGAGCATCTCTCTTGATCACAACTCAATGAAACTAACAGGCTTGAAATTAAGTACAGAAATCCGAAAGAAATAGAACTGATTAGCTCAAGGTGAAGCCAGATGTAATGTCCTTAAGAACAGCCTTTGGGGGCGCTTCCTCTGCTAGGAACCCACATCCATCTATGGCTGTTGAAAGCTGGGTCAGCTCTCAGTCCTAGCAGCTGGCCACATTTTATGTATTGAACCATCTCAAATGCCTTTATACGCATATCGTTCATTAGTCACTTTACTTCCCTCCCAAACATTTGCAACTATTTCGAAAGCAGTTGCAAAATTGCTCTGGGGGGTTGGGGTAATGTTGGCGGCATTGCGGATGCTAGCCAATAGGTACCTACCACAGGTGGCCGTACCATGACACACTGGAAACTTGTGGGATTCCCCCCCCGATGGAAAAATAAACATGTGTTTCCATGACAATTTGAAACACCATGGCCATACTTGATACATTATGTATGTCTTCACTCAACCGCACTTAAAACATTACATTTGTCTTCACCCACAGATGAGGCTATAGGAAAACTTAGTGGATATATATATATTTTTGGTAGAACAGGGAGGGAGGAAGTAGGATTTGATATTTTCCAATGTATTTTAATTGCTGACAAAAGTGTTGGATGCATTGCCCAGCAAACTTACAAAGGTAGTTTCTTGGACTGTGAAATTTAACATTAAAAAAAAATATCATCTGGATTCTGGAAGGGGTTGCCCTTCCCCCACCTGCTCACACTCCTCATTTTGTGCAGGCCAACAAGAAAAATCTATTGCTATACTCAGAGCACTTGAAAATGCAAATCTTAGCAACCCTCCCACCCTACAGTTTTTGGGACCCTCGACTATTCTCCGCTGCAATCGAGCTGATATTGCTTCAGTAATAATGGAAACCCCAAATGGATTCGGTCATCTTCGCAAATCCAAGTTTCTTCTGAAATATATGAATCCCAGATTTTATTTTATTTATTTTTTCTTCCACAATGCCCAGACATCAGTACTTGGATCTCCTTCAGTTCTGAGCTCTCCGTCAATCTTACAGCAGGACGTGAACCTTTATCCCGAAGTCCTTCTCCCGCCCGCCCCATCCCTCCCGGTCCTCTCCCACTTTAACCCGTGCAGAGTTATCACTGGTGTTCACCACAGTCCTGGTGATTTATAACCTGAAATAACATTCATTAAAATCCTTGCACATGTGTTTCTGGGCTTCATGCCCAGAACCAAATCTTGCTCCCCTCCCGCCCCCGCCCTGCCCGAGACGTGCATGACCCCTTCCCCAAACAGTCAAGAATTCCCACATTAGAACTGATTGCTAATTTCCCCCTAATGGGAAACCAAATGGCATTCTCTTGTGTGTGTGTGTGTTTTTAAAATTGGAAAAACAACTACCACAGATCCTGCACCCACCCTCCTCACAATTTAGCTGTGATTTGTAAAATAAAATAAAAACAAAAGAAGTGGAATTGTACATGAAGACAACTTTCTGCCTTTTTTAAAGAGCCGAAATGAAGAAAATAATTCTGTTCTGGTGGGTTTTCCCCCCAGAATTGTAAGAGTGGATTTGAAAAGTGGTTCTTTTTAACCAACGAGAAATTTTGAAATGTCAGAATTTCGTCCCAGTTGGCATATCTAGTAAGATACACAGTTCAAATTCTGAATGTAGTTCTATTCCTTGCTACGAAGGTAAACTTCAAAATATTATGCAAGGAATTATGCCTTTGGTCCAGCTCTAGATATGCATTGATGGGTAATTAGTTGCATGGAATTGTGGACAGGTGGTTCAAATTTGAACGCAGATCCCCTTCAAAGCAATATTGCCAGGTAGACTGCACTGTCATGAGGATGCAGTCCACCAAAGGATATTCGTTTGTGAATCCCTTTGCACACAGGAGTCTCCTTAGCAGTAAGTACCGAAGACCAGAGCGAAAAAAACCCCCCAAATCCAGAAGTATCTTTTGGTTTCAGGCCAAGTGACACTATCAGAAATGAAGAATTCTGTGGCTACCTCCCAATCTAAATCCACTCCCCGAAAATTCACGCAGAATCTGAAATTTAGCAACTCCCCCTAAAAATTGGTTTTTGCAGCTCAACAGGTTATGATGACATTATTCCAAAAGGTATCTCGGCAACATGATCCATTTTTTTTTTAAAAAAAGGATATGTATTGCAAATGGCAAGCCACTAAGCATAATTCAGCCACAGTTAACCACTTTTAAGGCCTAGTGATTTCAGCAGGGCAGATGATACAGAATTAACCTCCTCCCCCCAGAAATCTGTTTTATGAATATGTTAACTGACCTCTTGGGGAAAAAGGGATTCCATCGCTCTGCATTGGCACTGCTGATTACTGCAACATCAGCACCTCTCTGAATCAGATTGGCTATGTGAACATCCAAAACTATGCGGCATCAGATCATTGGTCCGTGCCGCTCAGTATTTTCTCCTCTGATTGGCAGCCACTCTCCAGGGTCTCAGATCTTTCCTAACACCAGAGAGTCTTCTGTTGGAGTTGCCTCCTGGGACCTTCTTTGTGGATAGCAGGTGCTCAACCACACAGCTTTGCCCTGCCTGCCGCCAAGTTACATTCCTGAGCTAAAACTGGGAAAATAAAGCTGAAGAAAAGATTCGTGAAACTATCTGACCTTTGGTCCATCCAGCCTGGTATCATCCGGCGACTTTGTAAGGTCTCTGGAAGAGAACCCCAACACCCAAGACCCTTTTAGCGGGAGACGCCAGAGCGTGAACTGTGAACCTTCTGCTTGCAAGTTGCAGCCGCAGAAATTGGGGAAAGGAACCCTGATTGTTCAGAAATATATGGTGTTGATGCAACTGCGAAGAAAGCTAATGCAATCTTGGGATGCCTTAGCAGAAGCATTGTGTCCAGATCATGGGAGGTGGTCGTTCCGCTCTATTCTGGTATGGTCAGGCCTCAACCTGGAGTCCTGTGTCCAGTTTTGGGTACCACATTTTAGGAAGGATGTTGACAAGCTCGAGCGTGTCCAGAAGAGGGCCACCAGGATGGTGAGAGGGTTGGAATCCAAGTCTTATGAGGAAAGGCTGAATGAGTTGGGTCTGTTTAGCCTGGGAAAGAGAAGGCTTAGAGGGGACATGATTGCAGTCTTCAAGTATCTGAAGACTGTCCTGTAGAAGATGGAGCGGATCTATTCTCTCTTGCTCCGGATTGCAAGACTAGATCTAATGGGTGGAAATT